CTGTTTTATTCTTTTTGTTAAATTAGGTGGTTTAGAACAATATCAATTAGACTTTTGTTGAATGTTTTTACCGATTTTCATTTCGATTGTGTATGTCTGATTTAATAGTATGATTTATAAAACTTTCTTTGTTTTTATTTCAATTTTTAGTATGTTAGGCTAAATTTAATACGGGAAGGGAGATATATTATGCATTGGATTATTGTACTGTGAGAATAAGTATGTTGTGATTTGAGAATATTATGTTTATTTCTTGATTGGATTGATGATCTGTTTTTATTGATATGAATTAGTCAAGTTATATTTTAGACCGGCCATCTTTAGTATAGTTTGCTAATTTAATTGCTAGTGTAGTAACTTGTGATACGTAATTGTCCGGATTAGTACTCCTTAGTTGCAATCAGGTGTTTAATGGGTGACTAAAACTTGTTTTAACGCCTAAGATTATCAACCCTTTAAGTTGCACAAATCCGAGCTTGTGAGATTTGTGGCTTAAGTTAAGTTTCCTTGTTATTAATGATGCTAATTAATTGAGTCTAGAGAGCTTGTTCTAGATTGTTAGTTAGTTAGACAATATTCCAAGAGCATGTTTGGTTTATTTGCAATTAAGGGAAGTTTTGAATGCTTGTTTGTGTTCATTGGTTAACATTAAGATATAAATGTAATTTACATAATTCGATGACCACTCGATATTCCAATGTTATAATACATCTCCTGATCCCTGTTTCGTCATTCTTGATTTTGAGTAATTATTAATCCTGTTAATTTTATTTCTCCGTATCTATTTCATTTTCGAGTCTGTAGTTTAGTTAGCAGACCATATTATTCTTTCTTCTAAACAGGGGTTTCTAAAATACACAAGTTATAATTTGATAATCCAATTCTCTGTGGGATCGACCTTAGCTTACCCTACTACATTTTTAGGAGGTTAGATTTAGGTTTATTTTTGGTAGACACGCGACAGTCGTACCAGTAGCAAGCCGGAGGTAAATAAGCCTTGTCATCTTGGTATTTCCCGCATATTTCTTCTTCGACGCATCTGTGGCCTTTCCCTTTCCCTTGCTCTTCCCCTTTCCTTTATTCGAACTCATTTCATTTTCCGTTTCCTGTTCCTTTCCCTTTGTAACCTTTTTCTGAGCCCACAATTCTGGACGAACCCCCATCTTTTCCAATTCTAACTGTGCACCCTTTCCGTCCTTTGTTTTGCCTTGAATATTCATCAGCGTTCCCACGAGAGCATCACACACATTCTTCTCTATATGCATTACATCAAGACAATGCCTAACGTTATGTTCTTTCCAGTACGGAAGCTTCCAAAAGATTGATTCTTTATTGAAGAGAGAAGTTGAGTCCGCAGCTTTTTCTGTTTTCCCAAATACTGTTCATATACCCTTAACTCGAGCTTAAACCTCCTCACCAGTCAATGACCTAGGCGCAGTCCCCTCTTCCGCTTTCCCATCGAAAGCCTTTTTCTGCCTACGGTACGGGTGATCGCGCCTGAGCAACCTTCGAGTACGCACATACACCTCTTTATGACAATTATCAAGGTGTATGCTTGGGGTGTCATCAACACAAATGGGGCATGCTTTTTTTCCTTTGTTCTCGTAACCAGAAAAGTTGCCATATGCAGGAAAATCATTAACGGTCCACATAAGAGCTGCATGCAATGTGAACTTATCATTCTTATGAGCATAAAAAATGGAACCCCTTTCGTCCCACATCTTTCTCAAATCGTCAACAAGTGGCTCAAGATAAACATTTATGCCGTTTCCAGGTTGCCTTGGCCCCGTTATCAAAAGTGAAAGCATTACGTATTTCCGTTTCATGCACAACCAAGGAGGCAAATTGTAGATCACTAAAAGTATTGGCCATGTGCTGTGTTGAGTACTAAGAGTGCCAAATGGATTCATCCCGTCCGTGCACAAACCAAGCCTTAAATTTCTGACTTCATCACCAAATTCCCCAAACTTCATATTAATGTTCTTCCATTGCGGGGAGTCGGCTGGATGCTTCAGCATTCTGTTTTTCTTTCTTCCCTCTGCATGCCACCTTAAGTTTTTAGCGTCTTTTGGTGTTGAGAATAGACGCTTAAACCTTGGAATAATGGGAAGATACCACAACACCTTAGCAGGAGGTCCCTTCGTACCAACATTGCAACTCATGCGCTTGTAGCGCGACTTCTTGCATCGTGGACACTCCTCCAATTGTTCATATTCATTTCCATAAAGAATACAACCAATAGGACATGCATGTATCTTCTTATACTCCAAACCAAATAGACACATGAGCTTCTTTGTGTAATAGTAAGACTTAGGAATTTCATTCCCGTCGGGCAACATCTCACTTAACGCGGTCAACAAAGAAGTAAAACTATTGTCCGTCCACCCATGCTTCGACTTAATGTTAAAAAGTGTTAGCACGACTAATAGTTTGGAGTATTTTTTGCACCCAGGATACAAAGGCTTTTTAGAAGCCTCTGATAATGACTCAAACACGTCTTCATCCTCGACCTCATCCACCTGATCATCCTCAAATCCATCCTCATCACCATTATCAATAATATGTTCATCATTCTTGTATTCCTCGTCCACACGAATGTCATTGCTTCTATCATCATGCACATCATTCCCATCAACATTTCCACTGTACTCTCCTTCTTCACCGTGCAAAATCCACACATGGTATTTAAGCCTAAACCCATGACAAACTACATGATCTCTAATGATATCAACACGATTGACCACCTTCACATTATCACAATCAACACAAGGACAATAGAGCCAATCGACACCCATTCTACACTGATAAGATGAAGCCCTCTCGCAAAACTCTTGAACCCCATCAAAGAATTCCAATGTATCACGTCTACCATACATCCAACCACGATCCTTCTCCATTAAGTAAATTGTCTCTAAACATGGCAACATATTACGAATAATGTATAATTGCTACATCAATTATATATGTAAATCAAATTCAAACACACACCATGCATATAACATTCATATAGATACAAAAATGCATATATGCTTCCAAAGGGTCCTTATCACTCCAACCTAACTCATTCTTGAACGTGTAATCTCACTAGTGAATGTATGTCGACTTTCCAATTTTTAAGGATAATCCGGCAGCATTTCCCCCCAGTTCTCCAAGTACACGATGTAGGTAATAACTTACCCACATATGTACCCAGAGAACATGGTGAGGAAATGGTAAGCCAAGATGTTCCTTAAAATCGAAAAAAAAGACATACATTTACTACCTAAGTGAGAGTAAACGTTCAAGAACAGTCCAACCGGGGACTATTCAATACTTTCTCCTAATGAGAAAGCCTTAAATGGGTATCTAGGCATATGATGATGCAAGCATTTCATATATTGTTGTATTTATTTGTCATTAAATAATACACAAGTCGTAATAGCATGAAAAAACTTTTATTAAACAATAAAGAGAAAGAAATATATATAGCTTAGAGAAGTTTCTAATTCATATCAATATAGCAAGTACAATGGATGTATTCTTTCTAACTTCCCACTTGAGCTAAATATGTAGTCTTCAAGCTAAACTTGTACTTCAATTCACATATGAATCTATAAAAACACAAAAAGAAAAAACAAAACAAAAAACAAAAGTTAGTAAGTATGAGAAATGGATAATAAGAAAAAATAGGGGCATATGATTAAGGAATGAGAGAGAAAATGGGGATAGATTATGCAAAAGCTAGCAATTGTAGCAACCACGCACGACTAATTAATCACCCTCCGTAACACCCCACACACAGGCCACCACCTTGATACACCACCACTCGGCAGCACCACCCAGTGTAAGTCGCCAACACCAACCATACAAGCACCGCCCAACCACCACGCACTCACCTCAATTGCTCCACTAGGCTGTTGCAACCACACTCTTTTTTTTATCTAGTTCAGGTATGACAGCTTAACGTTCCATACGGTACCCAAGAAAGGTATTTTTTCTTAGTTGCTACCTAAGGATACTAACACTCATAAACAATCCAAAAAGCCTTAACCACACAGAATAACGAACCTTGGTTTCTCACATAACTTATATCTAACAGTAAAGACCAACCAATACAGATTCTCTCACTAGCATTTGGCAAGTTTATTTGGTCTAGATGAACAAATTTTCACCCATTTAATAACAAGTAGCTAAATTAGGATAAGGAAGCATGAACTTAATGCATATAAAATAATTGTCATATCTTACAGTATTAGCATAATTTGTTCTATTCAAGCAACATACTGACATACACAATAAATAACAGAACTCAAAAATCGAAACAAGAACTTACATTTCATAACCATATACAAGTATGTGGAGGGGGAACCATGCGTGTTTAATTGACAAACCGTAGATTACAAGAAACTTATAATTACTAAATTGAAAAGCAAATCCTCAAAAAACCCAAGAATGCGAAAGAATTCGAAATTTTAAAGAAACCACAAAAAAAAAAAAAAAAAAAAAAAACTTACCTCAAAGCTGCTTCAATGGAGGAAAGATAGATATGGAGTGATGACAAGGTGGTGCTGCGGCAATTGCTTCAATGGAAGTGAGAAAGCTCGGACACCACTTCAATGGAGTAAGTGAAACCTAGGGCTAAGAGATGGTGGAAGCTAAGAGAAGAGGGAAAAACGAGGGAAGCAAATGAAATGAAAAAAGAAGAAGAAAGACGTTGCGTATAGTGTATAACCCGGGTTTTTTTTTTTTCAAATATGGCACTGGTTTAAATCGGTGCTAATTACCATAGTTGGACCGGTTTAGGGGCGAACCGGTGCCAACTCTATTCCATACTTTTTTTTAAAAAAAAAACAAAGAAAATTGGCACCGGTTTGTACCGGTGCTAATTAAATGATTGGGCACTGGTTTGGTTGGAACCGGTGCCAACACTGAATTTTTCAATTTCGCCCATTTCTTTTGGCACCGGTTTTCAAGAAACGGTGCTAAAGGGGGGTGCCTATTTCATTTTTTCTACTAGTGACATATGTGCTAGTATTAACCATGTTATCAACACTGACGTCTACTGAGGAAGCATGGATGAGCCTAGCTCCGAGGCCGGATTTGCAATCAACGAAGATAAAGCAACTATGCTGTTCGTCGTAGGTTTTGGTAACAAGACGACCAGCTAAAGGATAAAAGTGAACAAGAGCATGAGAGAGAGAGAGTTTAAGGTTGTCAAAGAAATTTTTAGATTTGTAAGATGAGGTACTAAATAAGAGACCATATTGTGTGTTACGTACTGATAGCAAATTGAAGGCTAAAGGACTTAGGTAATGGTATCTTTCAGAGTCGTCGACGTCGGATTTCGGTCGGACAAAGCATTCTTTAATAAGCTTAACCGGAGACATTTTAATGTTTCGGCCAATAATTCGGAAATTGTGGTGGCAAAAGTTGTATGGCTTGGTTCAACTTTTTATAGTGAGAAGAATTTTGGGAAATAACGCAATGGTAAATTAAACTAATTACTTTGCCAGCTAATTTTTACACCTCCATTTCTTATTAATTGTAACGAGTGCATTTCAGCGCATAGTTGCTATGCATTTATAAAGCATATAAGAGCGTAAAAATGTAAATTTGGCAAGCTATTGAAAAAACAAGCTGAATCTATAGTGGTACATTATAATGTATCATTATATATCATTATGCATGTATAATGTACCATTAAAGTATAAGTCGTCTTAATAATACTTTTTGTGTGCAATTATGCATGTAGTAGTACTTTTTACCATTCTATAGGTTGAATATTTTCCTCTTAAATACTTACCACCTGTCACCTATCATGCATATAAGGACACATTTTTCAATCCTATATGTTTGTTAATAAATAATAGCTATGCGCTAAGAGTTAACCAACTGTAGAAAAAAGGTATTATTGTAAGATATTACTCCCCTGAATTATTATTATAAAACGTCCATTTTGCAACACTCTGTAAATTATATCTTACACACATTATGATAAATTATTGAAATACTACATCCAAATCTTCTTCCTTGCTTGTTATTGCCTCATGAGCAGAGTTCGATAATGACAAAGAAGAAACAAGTGCCTTGTAGTATACACTATACACTATGGAGTAGCTTAATATCACCCATTATCTTCTCCTTACTTTTTTTTTTTTTTTTTTTATTCCTTAATTACAGATTTTTTGTGATTCAAATTTCAAGCCTTTGGCCCAAAATTATCACTATCTATCAAATACCACCTCAATTGAGAATTAAATGTAACATTTTTTTTTTGCTTTTTAGTTTTTTTTTAAAGGAAAATTGATTGCAACACTTTAAATTTTACACAATTTTTATAGTAAATATATTTTCTTTTATTTTTGGAAGCCACTAAATATATTTTCTAATATATAAAAACTTATAATTTTAAGTAAAATGTATTTAGATTAATTGTTATGTATTTTTTCATCATATTAACTTTCTTAATACTTGTATATAATTCCAAATATTAATGATTCAAATGGTGCTATGACATGTGTACTAGTTAAATTTTTGTTATTAATCTAATCGAAAGGTAAATCAAAAGTGAAAGGTATGTATTGCAATACTATAGTCTATGCTAGTAAGATTTAGGCGCTGATATTACGAAAAAAAAAGTCATTTCCAAGGCAAATTATTTATCTGCTCGTAATCTTTAAATATGTCAAACTTTATTAATTCAATAAAGGGATAAAATACTTTCTTTTATTTTGAAGACAAGGGATAAAATACTTTGTAATCTTTTAATAATCCTTTTTTTGCCAATAACAACTAAATTACTTGATTCTCGCATATACCAAATCGGCAAATCATGAGTATGATTTGCATCTAAAATCTACCTTCATCACATCATCTTTATTCTTTAAATATTTTTTAGGAGTCTTTCTTATTGGGTTCTTGTTTTATATTTTTAAGAAAATACACAACATTCTTATTTGTTTTTTCTGGGGCATTTTTGAGCAACCTTCATTATTTGCCTTGTATAGACCCACAGTCGGTCTTTATACCGTCTGGGGAACTTTTGAACAATCTTCATTGATACAGCTTGGGGTATCTTTGGACGATGTTTAATTTGAATTCATTAGACTCTCAGCAGGTCTTTATACCATCTAGGGGATCTTTGAGTAAGCTTCTTTGATACCGTTTGGGGTATCTTTGAGTGATTTTCTTCAAAAAAAAAATGCCTGACTGTTTGTTTTATGCTTCAGCTTTTCATACACAACCAGACTGCTTCGCCTATGGCCTCTTCTAGCCATACTTTGGGATTTCAGCCAAGTCTACTACAAACATCTTCACAAATTCAAGGTATTGCCTTTGCCCCTTGCAACTTTTTTGAGTTTACCGGTTGTATAGGTTGTTAGAGAATAATAGACTCTCCCAACACACACACGGCACGGCCTAGGGAAGTTGTCAACCGTTCACCGGATACGGCTGAATCTAGGACTGGGGATGCCGTTTAGGGGGTGTTTGGACCATCCTTACTCTTCTACGAATCCGACCGTCTCTGTTCATGTGCCGGACAGAATGGCTTGGACAAGGAAAATGGTTGTTGACCTTGAGTACCAATCAAATGATTCAGCCGGAACTCCGGTTGAAGATGTTCCTTTTGCCCAACCGGGCGTCCCGAGTACGCCAGGTGATGAGATCCTTGAGGAATCCGGGAGCTCAGGCGGTGAGGAAACCGACCAGGAATCCGGCTCAACTGAGTCTACAATGACGCCGGATGCCCCTCAAGATGATGAGGAGGCTTACAGTTGGCCTTCAGCAAATAATCCAACGGAGGCGCACATGAGCGCCCGGGATGTTGTGACATTAAACGCAACCCTCCCTGCTTTTTTGGAGAAGCGCCCTGTAGGGGTCGGATGGGAGGTCGGCGTCCCGCCTGCTGATGCAACCGTCGTCTGGGATAACGACTTGAAACATGCCGACAATTATTTCGGCTTCTATGAGGCGGCATTCAAAGCCGGCCTCCTATTCCCCCTCCACAGAACCATCAAAGCCATTCTAAGGGGTTACAACCTTGGAGTCTGGCACCTAACACCCAATTCTTGGGTGAACATCATTGGATACATAGCCGCCTGCGAGATGTAGGACGTGACGCCTAGTTGGGAGGTGTTCGCGCATATGCACTACCTGAGCCGTGCCCCAGGCGGCTGGAATGCGTGGTACACACTGACCATGCATCCGGAATATATGATGACATTGGAGAAGCCCTCAAAATGGACAAGTTGGAAAAGCAAATTTTATTTCGTCTCTTCCCCATCTACGACTGCTAATCACCGGATGCGCCGTTACAAGAAGAACCTGGCTCTATTAGGAAAGAAATGCGCCCTTCCCCGGATACCGGCTGAAGCCTAGGATGCCATTATGGAGCTGAGGTTGTTCAAGAAAGCTACCATGCCACTTGATGGTGGGACACAAATCATTGTCCCCAAATTCTGGATCCCTCACCCGGACTGGTTCAGAGACGAGGCGTTTCTATCCGCCTGCGCCCTTAGCACTTTTTGGGACAAACGTAGGTTTACTACTTAACCGACATGTTTTGCCGCCTGTATGGTGTTTGAATGCTCTAATAATTTTTCTTTACTATTTTGCAGAGAAAGGACTTGAGATGACTCCACCAGAGAAAATGCCGGCTAAGTCAACCGCCGAAATAAGGAAGGAGCAACTCGAGTAGAAACGGGCCGAACTTGCGGCTAGAGGCGGTGGGGTAAGCACCGACTGACATTTCACCGTCTGTATGTCTTGCAAACAATTTTGATTCTAACTTGTTGCTTTGGTATCTTTTGCACACGGGGAGTCAGAACGTTACCTGCTCCTTAAGGCAGATGGTGAGGAGGCCGGGGGAGGAACTCCCTCAGCCTGCTTCACAGAGGCGAAGGGTCTCAAGCGGCCCCGCACCAACCTCAGCCGGTAGAACACCGACTCCTGATAGGCCCACAACCGCAGGCAAAAGTCTGCAAAGCCTGGGTCTAAGCTCAGGGCCGGCTGAGGCCGGATCTAAGGAGCTTGTGGTTCCTTCTGGCCGGGTGCTTGCTGTTGCATCTGGCTCAAATGCGGCTGGGGGTGGGGGCACCCCTCAGCCTGATAACCAAGGTATGGATTTTGCTTTTGACCCCCCCGGCCGCTTGGGCCAGTTCGAGTCAAGTCTCATGCTTCTCAGTCAGGAGATTCTTCCGAGAACCGGCTGAATATAGGAGCCGCTTATGCCCAACACTTAACCAATATCTCTCATGATGCAGATACCGCTTCTCGTTGGCCAGATATAAAAAATTACGCCAAGAGAATGGTGAGGACCCTCACCCGGTCCGAGAAGGAGGTAGTGCCGGGTGTCAACCAGGTCAACCTTGACCGCATCACCTCACTGCTAGATGAGGTAAAATACCAGTTGGGATAGCTTTGTGAAATTTTGCTGATTTACCGGATGGGATACTTTTGTGCAAAATTGCTAATTGCCGGTTTGTCTAAAACTAATTTCTTTTCCAGCTGACTCTGCAGGTGTTGCTGAGGGTGGATGGGATGAAGACCCCCTTGCGGAAGAAGCAAAAGGAGATAAGGGATGCCCAGAAACGGGCAGCCGAATTAATTGATGTTTGTCAATACAACTCCCTAATGCTTGAAATCAAAACTAAAGCCAGGGAGATGAAACAGGAGGAACTCATCCGGGAGCTTACGGCTGCTGCTGACACAGCCAAGCAAACTGCCGCCGACCGGCAACTCCAAATTGACCAACTCAAAGCAGACATCGATGCTTTGAAGGAGGCTGAAAAGGAGAGGGTTGGGTTGAAGGACGAGGTCACCCGGCTAAGGGAAGAGCTGGACAAGACCAAGGACGAGCTGGTTAAGACTAAGAAGGAGCATCTGGGCCAGCTGTCGACTGAGCAGAACTGGCTGGTGACTGAGAATGAGCGCGACTATGAAGCGCGCATGAAGATGGCATTGTCCATGATCCACCCAGGCACCGACTATGCTTACATCGACTTGAGGTACAGATACGCAAAAGAGCTTTTTGATACTCAAGTACTCGGGCTTCAGCAGCCGGCGCCCTTTGAGGAATGGGCCGGCGCAGAAGAGGAACAGGCGGCAGAGAATGTACCGGGTGTGGCTGGAGAAGCCCAAACCCAGGAAACTCAAGGAGCCCCTCCAGCCGGTCAAGACCAGCTGTCTGAGCAGCAACATCAAAAACAACAGCAGCAACAATAGCTTTCATCTTTTTAACTCCTTTATTCCGGCCTGCGTGCCGTGTATTTCTGTATTACTTTTCTCCGGACAGGGGTCCGGCTAACATTTGAATTTAATTTTTATATATATATATATATATATATATATATATATATATATATATGCCGACTGAGTCGGTTTTCTTTGCCACTGTTTGTTTTAGTTTTTTGCAATTTTGCCTTGAATGATTTTTTTGTTTCAGTTTGAATTGATATATGCCGGATGCAATAACCCTGTCTGCCCCTGGATGGGTGTTTGCTTTTATTTACCAACTCTAAGTAGGCAACCTTCCATAAGCATCCGAATGAAGGAATAGACGGTCCT